TCATCTGCCGCTGACGACGGCGTTGCAGTGCGGTGCTTCATAGAACATTGTGTTTATTCGTACGCTCGACCGATGTACGCGACCGACGTCAGCGTAGGAGGAAATCAAGCCTTACCGTATCACGTAACGCTAGCTGTCATCGGCTGTCAACCGCGTTTGTTACGGTGCGGATAGAGTGCGTTGCAGTATGGAGTTTCATACAAATAATACTAACCGACTGAAGTTGATTTGGTTACGACTCTTTTCCGGGTCGCACAGCCGTCGCACGGCCGTCGCGCCGTCGTCGCACCGCCGCCGCAACGCACCTCTCTAGGACCAGGGTTGCATGATTTAAATCAAGTTGATTTAAATCATGATTTAAATCACGATTTTTATTACATGATTTTTTTAATAAAAATCATTGATTTAAATCAATGACCGAAAATGGAATTAATGAAAGGCTGGGAGTTAATATTAATCAACTGTAATGTTCGAAAACAATGTTAATATTAGGTGTTAATGTATGAAATTGTCGTTTTGTATGGAGAATCTGAAAATTTTAATTTTTTTATACAATCACATTTGCGATTTTTAATTTAACCACATAATTAATTTTTTTTGGCGGTGTTGCCTGCTCCATACATCAATTCTACGTAAATAAAAATGTATTCCGTAAAAAAAACTAAAGAAATGATCGCAGAACCTAATAAAAATCAAAAAAATCAAATTAATCAAAAAAATCGTGATTTTTTTAAAAAAATCTGATTTTTTTGATTAAAATAAAAAAAATCGTTATTTTTATCCACCCTGTCTAGGACCGACGGGGGTGACGCGCCGTCCATTCCGCGAGAACACACACATACTAATTATAGGCTGGGGCGGGAGACGTTTCGTGATTTACATTTTTGTTGTCTTTAATGAATATCGACATCTTTGTGCTATTTCTGTACGGGTGTGGGTCTACTTTATTTAGAAGCTCAGTAATGTAATTGTGTTTATTTAAGGTGGTCGTTTTAAATGATACTTAGATCAGGAATGGTGCTGTGTACTTATTAATATTATTATTTGGTGTTTGTATTAGTTGGTTGGTTATAGATATAGTACTTGGGTGTTAGTTTTAAATACGTTCTTTATAATCGATAAATAATAAAAAAAATACGCGTGGACCCCGTTTTACCCCTTTAGGAGTGGTGTTTCGTAAAATCCGTTCTTAGTGAGCACCTACGTTTTAAAATGAACCTCCATGCAAAATTTGAGACTCGGCACTTGTAGTTTCTGAGATTTCGTGATAAGTGAGTCAAACAGTGACCTTTCGTTTTTTCATAATATAGAAATATTTCAGTTATACTTAACAGAAAGTTTATGCAAAAGATAGGTGGTTACAGCCCTGATATCTAAACGTAACATTGGGAATTTCTTCGGATTGCTTGGGACAAAGGACGACCACCTGTGAGAGTCGAGACAAACGGATTCGTCCTCGTTGTGATTTCACGGACCAAAGATTCTGGTTGTTTGTTTACACCGCAACGCCGGTTGAGCGGCCAAGTTATTCCGCAAGAACTATAGTAGGGTAAACTGCCAGTATTGGACAGTTAAATACTGAATTAAAAATAGCATTTCTATTTCAACAACAGATTATTATTTTAAGAAAATTCAAGGGTTGTTTTGTCCAATGACTGGCAGCGTCCAATGACTGTCGGTTTACCCTAGTTNAAAAAAATCAAATTAATCAAAAAAATCGTGATTTTTTTAAAAAAATCTGATTTTTTTGATTAAAATAAAAAAAATCGTTATTTTTATCCACCCTGTCTAGGACCGACGGGGGTGACGCGCCGTCCATTCCGCGAGAACACACACATACTAATTATAGGCTGGGGCGGGAGACGTTTCGTGATTTACATTTTTGTTGTCTTTAATGAATATCGACATCTTTGTGCTATTTCTGTACGGGTGTGGGTCTACTTTATTTAGAAGCTCAGTAATGTAATTGTGTTTATTTAAGGTGGTCGTTTTAAATGATACTTAGATCAGGAATGGTGCTGTGTACTTATTAATATTATTATTTGGTGTTTGTATTAGTTGGTTGGTTATAGATATAGTACTTGGGTGTTAGTTTTAAATACGTTCTTTATAATCGATAAATAATAAAAAAAATACGCGTGGACCCCGTTTTACCCCTTTAGGAGTGGTGTTTCGTAAAATCCGTTCTTAGTGAGCACCTACGTTTTAAAATGAACCTCCATGCAAAATTTGAGACTCGGCACTTGTAGTTTCTGAGATTTCGTGATAAGTGAGTCAAACAGTGACCTTTCGTTTTTTCATAATATAGAAATATTTCAGTTATACTTAACAGAAAGTTTATGCAAAAGATAGGTGGTTACAGCCCTGATATCTAAACGTAACATTGGGAATTTCTTCGGATTGCTTGGGACAAAGGACGACCACCTGTGAGAGTCGAGACAAACGGATTCGTCCTCGTTGTGATTTCACGGACCAAAGATTCTGGTTGTTTGTTTACACCGCAACGCCGGTTGAGCGGCCAAGTTATTCCGCAAGAACTATAGTAGGGTAAACTGCCAGTATTGGACAGTTAAATACTGAATTAAAAATAGCATTTCTATTTCAACAACAGATTATTATTTTAAGAAAATTCAAGGGTTGTTTTGTCCAATGACTGGCAGCGTCCAATGACTGTCGGTTTACCCTAGTTGAAACTATTTTATATATATTTTCTCCTATTATTTTCCGGTAGAAAAAAAAACAAATAAAATAATAGCCTAGACAAATAAGAGAGCTTAAATAAGCAATCACTTAACCGTAACTGTTAACTACCAAATATTGTTAAACGTTTCCTCCAAAATGATCGGAATTAAATTTCATAGGGGAGACTGGGGCTGGTTTTAACAGGGGTAAATACTAACAGCGTAATTACATAGAACCTATTCGACTTACCACGCTAATTCCAACGCACTTTGTGTCTACGAATAAGCGCGAACGTGTCTCGACCTGTCAGTTGCCGGCCAAGCGTCACGGGAGCAGGTTGCGTCAGACGCCTCCAATTTCACAGGAAAATGAACTTTTTTACGTGTTTAATTTTTTGCATTACTCTTTAAATATGTATCGTAGAAAATTGGTTTTGGTATTGCATAAATCCGAATTTATTGTATTTTTCATTAATTTCAAAGTTTTAATCGAAAATATAACCGGTAAAAGAAAAACAATAATTTTGTGCAAAATGAGGTCGTGGGGTTGGTTTTAACAAAATGCACGGGGTAGGTTCTAACGCGTTAATATTTGCCTCGAACATTGAGTAAGACTGACTTTTATAACCAAAGTTGTATGTTGATTTATTAGAGGAGTATTTTTTTTGTTATTTTATTTGATAAAGATAGATTTAGTAAGTTTTAAGTTTATTACACATGTTTAAACGGTAAGGAGCCGAATTTCAATGATCATTTGATGATCAAAAATTATTTTTTGTTCTTTGATTTGAGTAAAGCTGATTGAGTGAGTCAGTTTATTTAACTAATAAAATTTAATTTTTCTGTTTATTTTATGAACGGTAAGGAACCGCATTACTAATTTTATTAGTGTTTCTAATAAACATTGATTATTATTTTGTTGTTTATCTTAGCCAAAATCCCATTCCCAACTATAAATCATTTCTTACCCCCGCTGTTAAAACTTTCCCCAGCGATGTTAAAACCAACCCCAAACCGGGGGTAAGATCTAACAAGTGACTTGTTTGGCAAAACTCGATTTTTCTCAGATATGGTAATTATTATATACATTTTGTTGTACTTTACGTAAAGCTCATTAAATTTGACATCACGTACCAAAAAACCATGTTTCTTGCTAAAGCAGTTTAGAAAATATTACGCTCAAATCAAAATTTGTTAGGACCAGCCCCAGTCTCCCCTACTAGTTACGAGTATTTACTAAAGTCATTCGCGATACTTTAAAATAAATAGTCACTCTACTACACAATGAAAACCGTATCAAAAGATGCAGATGTTAACATGAATGAATAAAATTAATTTATCATTCTGTGTTCAGAAATTTCAAACAGTAAGTCTTTGATTCAAAGTTACATATTTACACGAAAAAATGCCAGGGTAAAGTTCTACGATCCGACCAAAGGCTTCACTTCCGTTTGTAAATGTCCGCATAATGTGTGCTTACTGAAAGTTAAGAAAGTTTCAGACCAAATGAAATTATGAACATTTTTCTGCTCCGCACACAAACTTCGAGTACCCTTGCTTACACAAAAAGGAAAGACCGAGTACTTATACACAGGAATATTTAATAACATTTCTATCAATCAAGTCTAGCGCGAATTTTGTCAAAATTTAATTGAAAAGGAACATTATTATTATTTGTTTGTTATATATGTTTTGAATTTATTACCTTCTTTCGATTACACCTTCACTTGGATTACAAAGTGGCTTGTCTTTCAGAGAGATTAGTTTTATCAACTTTTAGCATCGAATTTAAATCCGGCCACTGGTTACTTGTAAAAAAAAAGACATAAATAAAATAAATTACAATCATAACTGTATTACGCATATGATTAAAATTATTTGTGAAAATTATAGAGCAGCTTTCTCTTTATTAAGTTACTTTATATTATTAGGGGGGCAAGGGGGGCAGCGTGCGCCATTGTTGCATTTCCACGAACATCCTTAGTGTAATCCAACTCGAGCCAGGACGTGATTGGTCAGTCGTATGTATCAGGTAAAAATACTGACCTGTGAGAGGTGAGATAGTTAGCTTCGCCGATGCGATTGGTTGGGAGGAAAGAGGCGTGGTGGTGGTATAAATACGGCCGGGGGCTGCTGCAGCCGTCAGTTCAGAAGAGCCGCTGCAGCCTCTGCGTGATCCGCCGCCTAGCCAGTCGCGCCGCGTCGTCCAAGCCGGACAGCCACCGCGTTTACGCTGCATCCAGTTTCTCTAACCGTTTCGAAAAATAATGAAAAATCGCAAAAAAACACTAGAAGAACCTCCGCAAGATCAGTATTGAGATGTTGCTTATCGTAGTGGTTGCTGGATATCACGTGATCGTGTTCTTTGCTTATCAGTTCGGTAGATTGATAAAGTTCTTGCTTAGGTGGTACAACAGAAGCAGGTCGGACGCGGGCGCGCTCAACTCGATGCTAAACTCGAAAAGCCATGTCATGTTTCGTCGGTTCATGAACGAGAAGGATGACATCGAATACGAACTGGACGATGGTATGTTTACGATAGACCGGGGCAAGACAATAGTTACTTTTCTCGTTTTTTAAATTTTGCTTTAAATATTATTCATTAAAGATCGCAATTCAGAACTTAAGTGAACTGTACAATAAATAATATGTTTTTTTAAGTAATTGTTAATTAATGGTTACTTTTGCTAAAAATAAGAGCTAATTACAATTAATTTTGTACAAATTACTTCTTATGGTACTTAAATGGTGATATTAAATTAATTTGAGAAGCACCATTAACTTTTTAATCATTTTACTGTTACAATTTAAGACTTATACCTATTGAAAACGTGCAAAAAACACGTTGACATTAAATTAACATATTTATAATCAAATTCACTAGAAAATAGAGTCAGAGTAAATTTCTCTTCCTACATTTAAAACATTTAAGTCTTTGCCCTTGGTTCTATTTTATTGTCCAATTTAGATTGCATTTTATCTAATCTTTAAAACTTTTCAAAACTCCTTGTATTGACTTTCCGTCCATGAAGTATTAATTGCCTATTTTAAAACTACGCGGAACTTGTTATAAGATCGAAGAAAACCTATTAAGAATTTTGTAGCCTTTTTTCAAGTGTACTTTACCAATAAAATGCCTTTTTAGTCGCGCCGGTGTTCAGGAACACTGCTAACGGTTTTAGTTACTAGTAAAACAATTGAAATATTACTTCTGAACCAAAGAATTGTTCGTGTTATTTGTATCTCTCCTAAAAAACAGAAATTATCAATTGAGACCATTTTATGAGTGAAACAAAATAAATCATGGCTTTTGGGGCATTTATTTGAGTTTAAATAAAGTTAGTAATTATAATGTACTTACATGAGTACTTATAAGAAATTAGAACCAAACCTCATGCATTCTAAATGGCAACATTGCTAGAGCTTGCGTACCAAAAGAACATCGGATGAAAAAATGCGTTATGCCGGGTGCCGCAGAAAAAGTTGCTAAGTTTAAACGGGAAAAGGGTTGAGTTAAAAGTTTCAGTTTTCCATATAAAGCCGTTACTTAAAGAATCCACAGAATGACGGACGAAAATAATGTGTAATTAAGGATGTCGCAAAAATAGTTCCACTGGCTAAACTCGAAAGGTTATCGAGTTAGGATACAAATGTTTCAGCTAAAAAAATCTACGGAGTCTTAAAAAACAAAGTTTTAGGCTACAGTTTACAGGATGTTTGCCATCGTTGTTGTTGATGTTTGTTTCGTCAAGTGTCACTATTTGACGATAATACCGTCGCGGATATTCCACGTCGAAGCCCCAATGCAAGTTATAATAATTAATCAATCGGAGCAACCCCACAATCAGCGTAGCTTGCCCATTTTAAGTCCAAATTTAATGGTCGCGGTCCGACGCGCGTCGTTAAATTAAATCGACTGCAAATCAAATCAAAATAGACAATTTTGTTGCAAAATCGCTGTTATTACAACATCGTAAGATACCACAATGTATAGCTTGATGTGCCGACGGCGTACATTCTTAACCGGGTAAAGAAATTCATCATCATCATCTCAGCCATAGGACGTCCAGTGCTGAACATAGGCCTCCCCCAATGCTTTCCATGCTGCCCGGTTAGTAGCGGCCTGCGTCCAGCGCCTTCCTGCTACCTTTATGATGTCGTCGGTCCTCCTTGTGGGTGGACATCCCACGCTGCGTTTTGCGGTACGCGGCCTCCACTCCAGAACCTTGCTGCCCCATCGGCCGTCAGTTCTGCGTACTATGTGCCCTGCCCATTGCCACTTTAGCTTGCTAACCCGTCGGGCTATGTCAGCGACTTAAAAAAAATATAATTATAATAATACATAGGCGCGACAAGAGCGATGAAGTAAATGGTCCATCTACCTTAATTAGCCTTAGTTCATTTTGATCATCGGTGCTTATTATGTATATTTTACGGAATATAGTTAAGTTAGCATACTTACTTACATTTCGCAATTGATTTGCGGGTGCGAAACGGTTTAATTTTCGTAAAAACATTAATATTAACTAATAATAATTACACCGCAGCTTTCAAAGTAATTTTAAAAGTACTTATGGCCGTATATTTTTGGTGTTATTGAATTAGTGCAATTTAGCCAGTTTTCCGCTAGAATATCCGATCACACGTAACTCTGTTATCAGAAATGACTGACGCATTTATTTAATTTCATCATCGCCTAGCGATGTGCCGGCGGCAAAATTTCCGCGATAGGTAACATGTCCGTTCCGTTCAGTTTTTGATTTTATCCTGTCAATAACATCGTCAACAACAGTTTAAAACTTGTTACATTAGTTATCCCGTTCCACCACCGGAAACGTTTAAAACGTTTATAAGCAAAGCAAACACTGATTATTATTTATAGAAAAAAGAATCATTTTTCTTAACGGAAAATTAAGCACGATTACTTACTTTTAAATACAAATAACATTTGCAATTTACAGCAATTATAATAATTATTATTATTAATTAAAGGCATTAATTGAACATCTACAACACGAGTATCAAGCAATAGTGTTTCTTACACGGTTATTTAGAAAATTTTCAAGTTTCAAGAGCAATTATCCGGCACTAATAACCAATCCGTGTAACTTATCTCTAAAACATTTATCTTTATCGCAAATATTAACTAGGTACGGCAAAAGAAGAGTTAGTTACTAGGAAAAGGAAAAGCAAATATTGTCGGACAATTTCTATCTTTTACGATCAGGGAAATCGCGGTTTGCTTTCCGGAGGAGACCAACGATTCAAAAGGAGCTTTATGTACCTAATTGTTTCCACTCCAATTACGAACGCATCAATATGATAAAGGCCCAGAACAGACGGTGAAACGCAACTGCAACGAAACTGCAACTGCTAGTTACTTTTGAGTTTCATCTAAGTTTCTGCCATAGCGTCCGTTGAGAGACCACACATGACGCGACCAGTTTGAAACTATCAGTTTCAGTTTCATTATTTTTGAAAATTCGAATTCTATCTTGCGTCCCCCTAGAACTATCAATAAATACAAAATTAAAATATCTCAATGTCGCACAACAATGTATAGAGATAGCCCATACTGCACTGCAATAAGAATATTCAATAAACTACCAATAGTATTAAGAAAAGAAACAAATAAAAAAATATTCCTCAGAGACCTAAAGAACCTACTAATAAAAAAATGCTACTACAGCCTAAACGAGTACTACAGTGACTTAAACTTAAATTAAAAATATTATTGTATCCGTTACACGTTGATTACTAAATCAATCATATAATTGATAAGCCTAAATGGGTAACATGATGTACTGGATAATATGATAACCACATCTTGTAAACATTCATGAAATGCAATAAACACATTTTGACTTTGACTTTAACTTTGACATTCATAAGAATCATCAGAAAGTTGCAGTTTCGTTGCAGTTGCGTTTCATCGTCTGTTCTGGGCCTAAGGCAGCATTTAGATTCAGTTCGAAAAACGTTGTGAAGATTGTTTTGGTCTATGTCTATTGGTTGTGTCTATCACTCGATGGGATAAATAGAGTGGCAATCTTAAATGGGAATTCGCCCGTAAATTAAACGAACTCATTAAAGCCTAGTTCGTACTAAACAAGTAATTTAGTCAAGCGTCAAGTAATTTAGTAGCTAATCGTCTGAACTTCAAACATTTGGTCGAGTAGGTTACTAAAAATACTTACTCATTTCTATTTTGACGGGTGAGTAGTTCTACGTACCATTGGTTACTCCTCTTATGTTCTTCTGATTAATTTTGTTGCGGGTCCAATGACAGTTTAACATTCCCCCGGGACAAACTTGACCTTCATTGGTTGGGTATTTTTGGCGGTCAAGCTGTAGATCCTGGCTGCAAAGTAGTTGCAACGGAGGGAACGAGGGGTGGGATTTTTTTCTGGACAAATAAGTCCGAACCTGTCGATTTAGTCGAGTTCAATAAACAAAGCAAAAGTGCGAAAGGTTTTTTGGTCAGTAGCGAGTAAGTAATTCCAGTAAAAGAGTTCCTCGACAAAAATACTAACGTGGTGCGAACAAGTTAAGAACGACTCGGGATGAAACGCATAAAAGAACAAAGTGTTAGGTTTAAGCACGAACTCGAGGAGCGATTTGCGTCTGAGTCCGTGGCGGCAGATGCAAATCTTTTTTCCTACGGCGTTTCTTGCGGTCAATTAGCAGCGGCTACTAAAAATGTCTGCAAACACAGAAAATGGCGATCTTAACTGCAACAGTTCTATCTATAATGTCCAGGGATGTTATGGATATCCGTAACCGTAACCGAAACTTTCGGATATCCGAAATAACCCTTAGGACTGTTTACTATGCTCTTGCCCACTCAGTACTGACCTACTGTATCACAGCATGGGGTAACTCTTGTAAGACCTCTTTCCTACGTCTGGAAAGGGCACAAAGAGCTGTCTTAAAAGTCATGACTCACAACCCCATTCGTTTACCAACCAACGAACTATATGCTTTTTGTAAGTTACCAAGAGTAAGACACTCTTTTATCATGCAAACTGTACTACGCAAACACGCTGGTCTGGTATTTGAATCTAACCGGGAAGAAAAGACCCGAAGACATGACAAAGTGTGCAGATTGGAGTCCTGCGTACTTGGAGTGGCTAGTCGACAATATCGGTTCCTGAGTCCTAAATTATATAATAAAATTAATAGACTTCTCAACATCTACAAACTTACCTTGCGTGAATGTAAAATTGTGATTGATAAATGGCTTCATACGCTCACTTATCAGGAGATTGAAAATCTCTTAAACGCGGGTAACTTGGGTTCTATATTTTTAAAGCCAACACACTCTTACAACACACAAATACACACACCACACACATACACACACCACACACATACACACACCACACACATACACACACCACACACACACACACACATTCAAACAGCACGCCTAAAGTAGTATGTTTATGGAATATTTTTACGGAAGTGGGCATTAGTAGTCGCACCACAGTTCTCTGAAACTATTGCGGCTATTATCGTACACGCTTT